TAACATGGTGTCCCAGAACCTAGCCAGGGAGAAGGAAGGACTGTGACCTCTTAAAATTCCAAGTGGCCCAGCAATTCCACTCCTACATACTCAAAGAGAAAATAATGCAGGGTCTGTGAATAGGTTAAACGAGAATACTTTAGTCATAGTACCTCAAACTGCCACAAGCCAAGTACCCAAGTGCTCAGGACAGTGGTTAAATAACCATATATGCTCTTATACTGGAACACGACACAATGACAAAAACACCACAAAAAGCATCAGCCACACACAACAGCGTGGGTGACTCTCCCAGGCCCCATGGTGAGTAAAATGATCCAGATAAAAAAAAGACCATATGATACCATTTGTATGAAGGCCGTGGATCTATGGTGATAAAAGTCAGACCAGCAGTGACCTTCAGGGGTGGTATTTACTGGAGACGAGCACAGGCAGAGTTCGAAATGTTCGAAGCTTTGATCTCTGGTTACCCAGGGTAGACACATCAGGGATGATCCGTCCAGCTGTGCACTTAAGCTCTGTGAACGCCATTGCTTGTAAATTATACTGGTGAGAGACAAATCACAAAGGATCTAACCCATGTAGACGGGAGGAGTTCTGAGGACAAACTTTAGAGGGGTTCAAGGAAAGAAGGCCAGGGAACAAGAGCAAGCCCATAGTAGGAAAGGAAAGGTATTCTCCTTTGAGAGAATAAGTGACTTGACCAGATAAGACAGAGCAGGGACCTGACCCTCTAGCTGCCCCCCTGAACCAGATCAATTCTCTTCAGTGGGTCTTCTGCACTATGCTCACGCCTTGGGTTTGGGACCCAAGGTGGAGGCAGATTTCAGTGTCCTTTATCTGTGCCCAACCTTCTTCCCTGCCCATAGCTGTGGGGCCAAGAAGGGCCTGGGCCTCAAGCCTCTCTTTTAGCTCCAGTTAATAGGCAAACTCCATCTGTCCAAGTGTGCTTAAATAAAAAAGAGCCTTGTTTCAAACTGAACTTCTGGATGGAATCTCTCATTCGAGAATGTCATGGTGGTAAGCTGCTCTCTGGACCTCTTGAAGATGATCTGTGAGCCTGTGAATGGGCAAGAATGCACATCTAGGTGTGTGTATCCTGCATACTGTGTTCCCTTACAATGGGGTTCTCTGGGGTTGCCCCTGTTCTGTACCCTTGCCCCTCATACATGGTCACCCCCATCTTCCTGCTGCCCCTAGATCCTCCTGTCTTGGCAATGGAGTCTGATTACCTCTCCACAAGGATGTGGAGGACTAAGTCCCCAGCATTCTTGGATACATTTTTTTTTTCCAGTACTGGGAAGTGAACCCAGGGCCTTAAGCATGCTAGGCAAGCACTCCACCACTCAGTTCCACAGCCAGTCCTTGAGTTGTTTTTTGTTTGTTAATGGAATCAAGAGAAGGTGAAAGCTAACCTTAAGACATTGCTTTTAGGGCCATATAAGGCAACTCCAAATCCTGTCAAGCTGTGGTCCCTGTAGGCTGGTCATGGGTAGCTGGTGGCACTTGGAGAGTAAAGAGTTGAAGGGAATGGCACACCCCCCAATCTTGGGGTCCTTTGAGGGACAGAGCTGCCAGCTTCCCAGTATCTGTATTAGTGACATGTCCACTAAAGAGTAGCTGCTAAACTGTAGGTTGCTCTGGACACATCTATCACATCTTCCTCTCTGAATGATGGGGGACACTTGGGGGCAATGCCAATCACTGGGGGTCCTTTGCCCCAGGCCCAGCCTTGGCCTCCTTCCCTTCGCTGCACAGGCAGTGCTCCAGCCAGGCTGATCTCCTTACGTGCCCTCAGCGAGCCATTCTCATACCTCCTCCCTCATCCCCACTCTGTGCTCGTACTGCACATTTACTGTGGTGCCGGTGACTCAGATTTCTCCAACGTAGGTGCCCTTCTCATGCTCATTCCACAGGTGAGAAAACCTCCCTTGGGAAAGCAGGTAGCTTCCGTGGGGTTGCACAGCTGATGATAGGTTGAGCCAGGTCCTGAACACAGGCGGTGGTCTCCAGAGCTGACCCTGGCACCTCGGACTGTCAGCTCCTGCCCTGAACCTTCCGTAGCAGTCTATGGAGTGCAGTGGTCAAGGGCACAGCCAAGGAGCCAGGCTGCCTCTGCTCAGACTCCAGCTCCTTCCCTTCCTGTGTGGACTCCTGAACATGTTACCAACCTCTCTACCTTCAATTTCTCATCTGTGTCATCTGGATGGAGGTGGCAACACTGAATTAAGTATGGCAACCACCTCACAAAGGCTGCTTTTGGGCTGTGGCCCCCACGTGGCCCAATCTGTGGAGACTGAGAGCAGACCAGGAGTACAGGAGAAGACAACACCATGAGAGCCTGCTCCACAGAGAGACCCTGAGACCCAGGGGGTTGATGGCACAGACCTCTTCTCCAACACTGTGGCCAGTACATGCCAGCCTTGTGTCAGAGACCCTGGAGCTCACAGCCCACTCTGAGATGCCACCCAGACACCAGCACCCCACATGTGCAACTACTGCACTCATGAGTCTACCCTCTGATGCCTTTCCCTAGATCTCACCCACAAACATCTCTCCCAGGCTAGGCTGAGAGTTCCCTAAGAGCAAGGACTCTATTTTCCTCATCCTCCACCTCCCTGAAAGCCCCTGATGCAGATTGGTAAGACATCAGGTCCTCAAAACACATTGGAAATGAATGGCATTGGCTTTGGGGACTTCAATACTACAACTTGAATATTTCGTTTTAGTAGAAACAGAGTGTGGGGAGGGGTGGATGTGGCCTTGGATGGATGCAAGTGTATGCAAACCACTCTGCAATGACATGCAGATGTGTATGCTGGATTTGTGGGAAGGAGTCCTAGGACTTCAGAATTTTGGTTCTCTGCTCTCGGAAGGGGCTCGTGGTCTGCTGAGGATCATGCAATCTTGCGTGGCAGAGGCTGGGAGCTGGCTGCCACACGGCATCCTGGTGCCGGTGGAAACCATTGGGGGATCAATGTCATCTTCTCATCCTCTGTGAAGCTGCTTCTACCACCAAGGCAGACTAGCTGAGGGGACGCTGTGGGGACAGAGGCCTGCCCTGAGGAAGAGCTGGAGTGTAACCAGAGCTGGGGCCTCCCAGGTTCTGGGGACACAACTCTGGGGAAATGGGGAGCACTGGACCAGGGAGGAAAGACTACCCTGGCATCAATTCTGGGTTTTCAAACTCTGTCCCAACTCTGCTGTGACTATCACTCACACCCCAGCCCTGTGCTTTAGCCTGTGTCCCCTAAGTGGGCAATGGGTCATGGTAACCAGGAGACCTAGGGATTCCCCACAGCTGCGAACCACCAAGTATAGGGAATCCTTTAACCATATATCACTCCGTCCTCAACAATCCCACCATAGGCAGTGCTGATATGATCCTCATTTTATGGATCATAAAACAGGCCAAAGTCACCCAACCTGCAAATGGTAGAGCTGGGATTCAAATCCAAATTTGTCAGACTCCAAAATGTCCCTCTTAACTGCCCCTCCCTGCTTCCCTTCCCGGGCCACAATGGTCCTATACACCCAGCTCACAGGGGAGACACTGGGAGAGGAGGCCAAGTCCAGAGTTGGGAAGGGAAAGTTCCAATGCAGTGATAGGAGTTTCCCCTCCATGCAAAGATGGAAACGATCGAAGCTAAGCCCCTCCTCTGGCTTAGAATCTCTCCCACTCAACTCCGACAGTGCCTGTCAATCCAGCCTTAGAACTCGTGCCTCGGGGACAGCATTGCTCTCTATCCTCTCCTATTTTTATTTATTTCCACATTTTTATTTGCATTATAATTGTATATTTTGATGGAAATTGTTACATATTTGTGCATGCATGCAATAGAACAACATAATTTGGCCAATATCACTCTCCAGCATATTCTCTCCAATTTTAAAATATAAATCCTATTGGGAGGCAGAAGAGACCCAGGCCAGGGAGGTTCTGGTGCCTGCAGAGAATAGGGTCTGGTGTATACCATAGGTCCAGAAGGCAAATTCTGCCATCAAATGCAGTGATGCTATGGTCCTGAAATAATCAGTGACGATGATCCTGGGCACCCTTCCCAGAGCACCTTGTACTCTTTCCAAACAATTGCATGTCATATTTCATACCCAGCAGATACCCAAAAAATGGTAGTTATTCTAATTAGTAGGAGGAAGAGGGAAACCCTAAGACATGTAGTCGAACTAGAATCATCATCCCACTTTACAGCCAGGAAACTGAGGCCCAGAGAAATAGCTCAAAGCTGACGATGGGTCAGGGCAAAACCAGATCGGTTCTGGATGGAGACACAGTCTCCTTCAGAGAAGTCATGATGGAGAACAGGAGATGGGACAGGAGCCGAGAGGAAAACCCCAGCGCCTGGGAATCTTCAGGGGGCTGTGCCCAAGAACAGGGTTCCCACAGCGGCAGGTGGGCATCGAGCAGGCCAGGCCGGACAGGGCTGGCACCAACTCTAGCAGGGTGGAGGTGCCAGCTCTCACCCGCCAGCCGGCCTGCCAGCTGGGGAAGCTTAATTAGAATTCCTCAGCCCTCCAACCCATTTCCTTCCTGGCGAACAGGACAGCTAAAGGCCCCTGTCGCCTGCTGCCAGGGTGAGGTGGGCCGTGCTGGCAGCTTCAGGCCAGGTTGGGGGTGGGGTGACCCCTAACAAGCCCAGGAAGCGTGCATTTCCCCCTGCCTTGGAGTAGGGAGCAGTCCCCAGTGTGACCCGAAATTTCCCCAAGTCAGAGACCATCTGCCTGTCTGTCTATCCGTCCCCCAGGGCCCCAGGGGCTGGTGAGTGTGGATAGACAGACACAGGCTGTGGGAAGCGTCAGTGATTAATGGGTGATGAAAACCAGACTCCGGCAGGATGGGGGTGGGAACAGAGAGGCAGAGAGAGGCTGTCTGTTTTCTGCTTGGCTCAGCTTTGAGCCCAGAGCCCAGGGGAGGAGGGGGAGGCAGCTGAGGGCAGCGCTGGCCCTGGCCTCAAAGTCACAGCCAAGACAGAGAGCCCCACTTCATGGACGCCCAGCAGCACTTCCTTCACCTCTACCCTGGAGGGGAGCCCCGGAGAAGATGCAGCTCTGCTCCCAACATCCCAGGGACTTGCAGTTGTCCCTTAAACACCCTCCTTCCCAGAATCCTTCCCCCACCCTGCACAGGTAACAGAGAAAAAATGCAGCCATGATCACCCCAGGCCTTCATCTCTGTCACATTGGGCCAACAGTCCTGGACCTAGACCCAAAGCGCCTATCGACCTTCGTCTCTCCAGCACAAGAAAATTCCGTGGCCTACACACAACCCCAAACTCTGTCGCCAGGCTTTGCCTAGCCCCACATAAACTTCACCTTGGGAATTCTGAAAAGTTTAAATGGAGCAGATTTTTCCTCCAAAGGGTCTTTGACAGGAAAAGGCTGCATGTGAGAACATTTAGATTAAACCTGCCAAACTGCAGACAGACGGTCAAGAGGGATCCAGGCAGGAGCCAAGCCCGCACAGTGCTGCCCAGAGTCCTCCAGACAGACACCTGGAGGGACCTGGATGACCTGGGAAGAGACACCAGCGCTGGCCTGTCTGCCTGGGGTTCCGCCAGTCAGCCCAGGAGTGACCCTCTCTCATGGATGCTGAGCTACAAGATTCTTCCAGAGGGTTCTCCCCATACCCACCCCCCGGGGCCCTGGGATCTAGCCAGAGGGGCTGGTAAGAAGGAGCCAGGCTACAGATAAAGGAAGTTGCTTTGGGAAGAAGAGCACGAAAGCAAAGTTTGCTGACTGAAGACTTTCACTGCCGCTGACCGGGCCTCCCTGTCATGAGAATGAAAATTATTTTCTGCTTGTCAAAAAATATTTCCAGGGTAGATCCTGTGTTGTAAGTCAGACAGATAAGGACAGCAATTTCGATTGCCTCCTTCTTGCCTGCGTAGCGGGTGCACATTTGCAGCCCTGTACAGCTTAGATGCTATCTGCAGAGACTGAGCCTTGGGAAGGTTGCCCCCACCCCCACAACATCTCTCCTCCAGGTAAGTGACAGAGCTGAGGTCCTGGGTCTGGCAACACAAACTCTCCTGCTCGCTGAAGCCCTACCCTCCCAGAGACTGGAGAGAGAGAGAGAACTAGTCACCATCTGGGAAGAATTAGAGATTTTTATAAAAAGCCTGATGTGGGAATGAGAAAACCTTCATTTGGGGCTTTGTAATCAGTGAAGCAGAAACATAACCTTCCTCCTTGCAGACATTTCTGGACTCCCCGGAGATACCTGACTATGTACCCAACAAATTGCTGAGGAATCAAGTGTACGGCTTTAAACCTCCCCATCCCCACTAGCCAGAGAATGCTGTGTGCTGCGGCTGGGCGGGGGGCCAGGGGGGTGAACTTTACTGCTTCTTGGATCCCAGTTCCGGTCCCTTGCCTTAACAGAGCCCAGACTTGTCATTGGAGAGGAAGGGGGAGGCTGAGGTCACTGCCCTTCTCTTGTTTCTGCTCAGAGTGCTGCTCTTCCCCAGGGAGGTGGCAGGGCTCGGGCAGCTTTGCACCCTGCTGGCTGTGGGGTGGGAGCAGCTGAGGGGGATCTTAAAAAGGGAAGTGGGAGAGGCAGACCCCCCCCCCACTGGGTGAGGGGGAAGACAAGACACCCTTGGCCAAAGCCAAGCATCTAGACTTCATTTGTGGCTGTTCGGGTAGAAGTGATACAAAGAGCCCTAAAACCAGCGGGGTCTGGCCTGAGTCCCAGCTGGATATCTGCAGACAGGGACAGACACCTCACCTCTCGGATTCCAACCTGCACAGAGAGGGTCACTGGACTTTCCCACAGTCCTTCTCGGGTGCAGTGATAAAGCAGGAATATATTCATTTTCTACTATTGCTGAACAAATTGTCACAAAGTTATCTGCTTAAACCAACACCCGTTGATTATTTCACAGCTTTACAGGTCAGAAGTTCAGGTGGGCTCAGCTGGGTTCCCACTGAGGAGGGTCTCATAAGGCCAAAAATCAAGAAGTGAACATCTAGAAGCTCTGGGAGAGAATCTACTCCCAAGCACACTCAGGTTATAGCAGAATTCCTCTCTCTCAGATCCTCTTCATATGGTCCCTCCATCTTCAAGTACCATCTTCAAGGTACCTTGAGTCCCCCCACACACACATGTTTGAAACCAATGACTTCTTGTCATGCATGTCATGCCACCAGCCAGAGAAAACCCTCTGTCTCTATGAGGCTTCTGGGACGAATTTCAGGCCACCTACCAGGCAATCTCTCTCTTGATAAGCTCACTCACCTAATTCATAGTCTGTTAATTGTGTCTTTGAAATCCCTTTGGCCACATAATGGTACAGAGTCATGGGCTTGCCGCCTCATTCTATTCAAGGATCAGAATGTGGAATCTTAGGAGCCACAGTAAAACTTCTGCCTGCTACTGAGAACAAAACCACTTGTCATCTTTAAAGTGCTGGATTTGGGTGCTTTTTTTGGAGTGGGGGGGGGATACTGGGGATTGAACTCAGGGGCACTCGACCACTGAGCCACATCCCCAGCCCTATTTCGTATTTTATTTAGAGACAGGGTCTCATTGAGTTGCTTAGTGACTTGCCATTGCTGAGGCTGACTTTGAACTCATGATCCTCCCGCCTCAGCCTCCCCAGCCACCAGGATTACAGGCGAGCACTACCCTCCAGGCTGTGTTTGGATTCTTATCATGGACTTTCCTCCTCTTGCCCCAGTTGCTCAGAGGAGAGGGTGGCACTGAGTTGGGTGGCTTTCACCCCTGACTCCTTTGTCTCCCCCTCTTCTCTCGTCTGCCCCTGGACTTTTCATCACCTGAGAAGGCAGCCCTGCCTCAGGACCCCTGGGACTTTGCTCCTGTCCATTATGTCTCCCTTTCAGAGCTTCAGCCACCTCATCTCACCCAGGTTCTTGCCTGGGCCCTGACCCTCCTCTGTACTGTTGTACTGTGCCATCTACGTGCCCTGTGCCACCAGCAACACTCTCCTGCTCCCTTCCTGACCACTGGAGTCACCTCTACCAGCTCCCACTGCCTTAACCTGCTCTCTGTCCCCTTACCCCAGTGAGCACCTGACAAGCCACATTTCCCAGGCCTATGGTGACAGAGCAGATGGAGTCTGCCTGGTCCCCTGCTGTGTTCCCAACACCCAGCCTCGTGCCAGGACTGTAGCAGGCACTCTAACAAACATTTGGTGTGGTTTCTCTAAGTTCATGTATCTGTGTGGTCCATTTGCTGAAGTGCCCCAACTTGAGCGTATGTCACCGTGGCCCTTTCATCATGTGAAGCCCCAGGTCCCTCTCTGCCTCAGCCAGAGGACAGTGACCAAAGGGAGCCTGGGTAAGTGGGTCCATGGGGAGGAAATGCTGCCACTGGCTCTACTCTGACCTACACCACATATCACACACACACACACACACACACACCAGACACTCTGTGTTCCCTAGGTTGTGGCCGGGGTGGGCAAGAGCCGCCACCCCACATGCTCTCCATACCTGGCCTCACTCAGCTGATCTCCAGGGGTTTACTTGTGCTGGCCTTGATCTTTATTCATTCCATCCCTGAATTTAGGCCTGTGTTCTCTTCCCCCAGGGATCCACCCACTTCCTCTTGGGAGCCCAGCCGAGGACAGTGTGGTTTGAAGAACATCCTAATCCCAGCCCCAAAGCTCTGAAAGAAAAAATGACTAAAAACTCTGGAATGTGGAGCCTGCTGCTTCCTGCGAAGCACTTTGAATGAAACACGTAACCAACAGCTGCAGTTCAGAGAATGGAAACTCTGAAGGACGTCATGGCTCCGGGACCCAAAGAGCGGGGTTGTGAGCAGATCAAGGTCTTGATTTCTGCCCAGCCCAGACTCTCTGTGCCCGTCCCTCCTGCTCTTCTTCCAGGAACCAGGCCCATCCTGCTAAGGATATCCTTCTGTTGCTCCCTCATTTCAAACACGCCACGACCCCCAGCAGCCTTGGGTCTTTGAGTGTGGTGGGTTAGATCCCACACGCATTCACCAGTGCCCAGTGCCCAGTGCCCACCGCCCTGCCCCTCTGCCCTCTCAGGAGCAGAGGGTGAACATGGCGCCCATGCTGGGACTCAGCCCAGACCATGCCTGATGATGAAAGGCGGCTCATGCAAGCAGACAGATATGGTTACCCAGGCCGGGCACCAGGGCACACACCTGTAATCCCAACAGTTTAGGGGGCTGAGGCAGGAGGATCCCAAGTCCAAGTCCAGCCTCAGCAACTTAGTGAGGCTCTAAGCAACTTAGTGAGGTCTTGTCTAAAAAATAAAAAGAGTTGAGGGTGTGTGTGTCTCAGTGGTTAAGTGCCTTGGGTTCAATCCCCGTTACAAAAAAAAAAAAAAAAAAGGTGCTGTTACTTAGTTACTCTGGCTGCTCTAGGGGTGTGGGGAACAGAGGGCCTGAATTCCTAAAGATCACTCCTGAGTGAAGGGAGCACACACTACCATGTTTTCAACTTTTTTAGGGAAGTAATATACACAGTGACGCACACTGATCTTGATGATTTGGCTTCATAAACTTTTCTGTACCTATGTCTCACCTTCAAATACTCCAGAAGGTTCCCTGGCGCCCCTTCCCAGGCATTATCCATCCCCCTTGAGGCAACCACCCTTATGAATTTCTCTCACCATCAGTTAATTTTGCCTGTTTTTGAATTTCATTTTCATGGAACCACAAATAGTCCATATCCTTGTGATCTACTAACTCTGCTCCCTATCACTTCTAGGAATTCTGTCCCCGTCGCAGCACACTAACAGCTCATCAGCACCTACTATGTGCCAGGTGCTGCAGGGAGAACGTGATGTTTGCTTTTTGCACTGAAGCCTCGGTGTTGAACCCATTTCACAGATAAGGAAGTTGGCAGGAACAGCAGTTCATTGCCACACAATCAGGACATGGAGGGGCTCGATTTCAAACCCAGGATAGATCAACTTCAGAGTTGATCCTTCTCTTTTCTCTTTACAGATACAAGGACACTTAATCCCACTGTAACAAGAAGTAGGAAAACACTGCCCTGGAGAGCTACACCTGGAATTTTCTCTGAGGAATTAAAAATCACTGTATTCAACAAAAAGTCACTGTCAAACACACAGTAGGTTACTTCTAAAATAGAGTGTATGTAAATTAAATGTCATTTTTGTTTGATTCACAGTTATCATTCAGGAAAACAGCCTCTGAGAAACTCCACAAAGACGTGTTTATGTCCCACACCCTGAGCTTAGTACTTTACAAACTTCAACTCATTTACTCCTTCCTCATTTACCATCTGATGGAAAGCTGATTGTTAGCCCTATTTTTAGACAAATAAGATGTTGCTTGAAGAGGTTATCTATAGCGGAATACCAACACCCCTCTAACAAAGCTTAGAAGCTTAAAAACAATCACCATTTCTCTCCATTCATGATTTCAGTGTGTGAGCTGGGCTGTTCTGACTCAGGGTCAGACTTGGCTAAAGTTGGACTCTTCTCACATCTCAGGCACCTGGGCTGGGAGGGCTCAAGCAAATGGGGGCTGGAGCCATTGGACTTCCTCAGGCCTCTGTCTTTATGTGGCCTATTCACATGAGCTTCCCAACATGGCAGCTGGACTTCCTACACAGAAGAAAGAACTGGACTTCCTGCCCAGAAACTCAGGGATCCAAGGCATGTGATCTTGAGAGAGAGAGCGAGAGCGCAAGATAGAATCTGTGCCACTTCTTCTAACCCAGCCTTGGAGTCATGTAGTGTCATTTTCTACCATGTCCTGTTTGTTAAAATGGGAACAAAGGCCTGTCCATTTGAAATCCAGGGGGTGAGGATTTCTTCCATTTCTTGATAGGGAATGTGTTGACCAATTTAAGCTCTGTTTAAAACCACCCCTGTTTATCTTCTGGATAAAAATTATTTACACTCCTCTCACAAGCAAAATATACTTCTTCCCTCCCAATGATCCCTGAAAGTCTTATCTAGTATAGTATCAGGTTGAGGCCAGAGATCCAAATCCCATCATCCAAACCTTCCAGGTATAGAGGAGATTCCTCAGATGCAATGCCTCAGGCACAACTCCTTGATTCTATTCCTCTTTATCTGAAGACTTTTGAACTAAAAGGACAAGTTATCTGTTTCTTACATAACCTGTTGTAGTCAACCTTGTGTCACTGTGACCAAAAGACCTGACAAGAAAAACACAGGAGGAAAATTTTATTTTGGCTCATGGTTTCAGAGATTCAGTTCATGGTTGGCCCACTCCATAGCTCTGGGCAAGAGGTGAGACAGAACATGGAAGGGTGTGGCAGAGGAAAGCAGCTCAGGAGTGGCAACCAAGAAGCAAAAAGAGCTCCACTCGCTGGGGACAAAATATAAACATAGAAGACACGCCCCCAATGACCTACTTCCTTCCATCTCACCCTACCTGACTACTGTTACCACCCAGTTAACCCATATCATGGATTAATCCACTGATTAGGTGAAGGCTCTCATAATCTAATCATCTCACCTGTGAAAATTCTCTAACTGTCTCACACATGAGCTTTTGGGGGACACCTCATATCTAAACCACAAACCACCTAACACACAATGATGGAACAGGACTGGGATGACCGTCATGAACACTCCCATTTAAAAAGGAGGCACACCACCGTCCTTGGACCATAGCAATTTTGAAATCCCTCCAAGTACCCATTGCCAGTTTCTGGATTGGGGTCCACTCTTACTCCCTGGGGATGATTCTCCGTGGCTCTTGGCTCTGTTTCTCTGGGTTCGACTTTCTGAAAATCATCCTTCCTTTTCTATAAAATACCACTGGTAGTTGCAGCTGAGTAGTTTTTTCCACTTGCTTCTTTTCCACAGAATTGTGGGGGGTCTGATGGTCTTTTTTCACTTTGTGCTAGTCCATCCTTGTAGTTCAAGTTGATGGTGTTTCTGACAATATAATTCTACTGGGTTTCCTATGGATGTCCTATTGGGGCTCACTTCATTAGTCAAAAGTCACCCTCACAGATTTCATCAAAATAAACCCTTCTCTACCCTGAGCTTCTTGTGAGGCTAATATGGGATAATTCCCTAAAGATTCTGTTTAATGAAGAGAATCTGTGAAACATACTTGTGAGATGTTTAGAGGGCCTTGGCCTATATGAAAGGTTTTATGAAGCATTAGGTCTTTCTGAGGTTTTAATGAAGGGTCTTATCTGGATTTTCTCTTTGCCCTGAAGCCTCTTCATACCTTGAGGACAATTTCGAGTTAGTGGAAGCTGCGCATGAGAAACAGATTTATTTGCAAACCCAGCAAGTCCTTGGCTTTTATATTCTCTGTAAATTTTCCTTAAAAGTCAAAAGTTTCCCCTTTAATTCATCTTTCCCTGCCCTTGTCTTGTGCAACTGAAATAATTCAATGGGCACTTCCAAAAGTCTGCTTAGAAATTTCCTTAGCCCAAACAATTCTTTGGGCACATTTCCTATTGTCCATATCTCATCAAGTGACAATGTTGCTAAACTTTCTTGTACTATATAATAAAGGCCCCCTTTTCTCCTGCTTCCAATAACATTTTCTCACTTTCCATTAAGCCCTTCCCAGTAGCTTCCAATAACAGCACCTTCAAAGCCTTTATCATTTCTCCCCACACCACATCCTTAAAGCCATAGATTAGGAAGGTATTGTTATGGTAACAGTCTGCTTCCAGGCATCAAAAGTCTGTATTGGCTATTCATTGCATTATAGCAAAACAACCCAAAACAGTGCTCTTAAAACAATAACAGTCATTTATTTTGCCCATGAATATAGGGGTTGATGAGATCCAAACAAGACAGTTCTCACTCATGATCTCTGGTAAGTTTGCTGTCCATTGGGAACTGCAGCTGGGATCAACTGCAATGTGTCTCCATTCACGTATCTAGGGCCTAGGCAAGGGAATCAGTTAGGGCAGGATGGCAGGGCTTCTTGGGCCATCTCTCACTTCATATATGCTCTCCCTATGACGCAGCTCAGGGTAGCCAGATATTTTTTCATGGCAGCTGAAGGATCCCAGCATGAATGGCCCAAAAGGAACTCTCAGAGCTGCATGGGGCCAGGTGTGGTGGCACACACCTGTAATCCCAGCAACTGTGGAGGTTGAGGTAAGAGGATCACAAGTTTGAGGCCAATGTCAGCAACTTAGCAAGATCCTCAGTAACTTAGGTAGAACCTATCTCAAAATTGCTTTAATTAAAAAAAAAAAAAGTCAAAGTTTTTAGAGTGCCCCTGGATTCCATCCCCAGTACCAAAAAGAAAAGAAAACGGCGTGGATTTTTCCAAGGTAGCCTTGGAAATTACCCAGCATCATTTTTGCTATGTTTTTCACCCCTTTTGGAGATTTTGGAATTCCTTAATTCTCACTATGGTTCAAAGGGAGGGAACATACACCTTCTTCTTAATGGGAACAAAGTCAAAGGATTGTGTACATGTTTCAAAACACTTAAGGGGTTAAGTAATATACCCAAGGCCACACAGCTGGAAAGTGACAAGAGTTCAGAGGAACCCAGGCAATCTGGTCCTGGACTTAAATCCTTCACTGCTAGTCTAGAGTGCTTCTTCTTCTCCTTTCCTCTTACTGACTTTCTTCCTCTCCCTCCCGCCTCCTTCTTGGATGGAACCCAGGGCCACCTCTCTGCTAGGATGCACACTAGCACCATGCTACACCCCGAGCCCTGCACAGCCTCCTGTGGTGCAGACCACCCAGGTGGTCTACATACTTCAAGAGTTTGGGCGGGGGGTGTCCCTTTGCTTGGAACAGTTCCCTACTTGCTTTGACCTACTCAGCTTTCTCAGAAAAGTAGTAGGATTCAGACTGACGGCAAGTGTTTTCCAGGGTATGGAGCGGCTGCCGGCCGTTAAGGGAGTGAGTGAACCGGAGCTGGGCAGCCTCCTCTCAAGTCCTCTCTCCTTGGGATCAAGTTCTTCACTGTGCCCATCAGTGCCTCCGGGGATGGTTTCCGTGTCACTTTCCCTGTGGCCTGCAGACACCTCCTTGTCAACTGGCTCCTGTGATCTTGCACCTTCTCACTAGTTTGGTTCCCACAGGGAATAGAGGAGTATGCTTAGATCTTTCAAGAATGTCTTCCAAAGCCTGGGGGATAACTCAGTGGTGGAGCAGGCAAAACAACAACAACAACAACAACAACAAAATCCTGCAGACTGAAGGAAGCTTCCTCTAACGCCTGAGGATTATTCATCAGAAGAAGATAAGGTTTAATGGACTTCACCATGCATAGAGTTTTCCCAAATTTCCTTTAAGGCTTGACTTTAAACACATTTTCATCCACAAAGATTTAACAATGCTT